ACGTTCCGGAGGCCTAGACTTTTTGATACTTTTTCATGTTCACTTACCGAACAATATTTTGGAATCCAAGAATGCTTTACTCTTTTGTGCTTATAGGGTTGCTTTCGAAATTCTCTTAAAAATTATGAATAGTAGTCAGCAAATTTGACGTTTATCCAGCAAACATATTCCTGTTAAAGTGCGAAGGAAGGTTAAAATTTGGATTTGCGCAAAAGTGGGTGTAATACTTCTTTCGTCAATGGAAATCTCGAGCACTGTATAGAAGAATTGCATTTGCATTTGAGTGAGCTACATTGATCATTTCTTTTATACCCATTAAAAAATACTATGTGCTCGTTTTAGCGTGAAAAAGTGTGCCTTTCCGACATGGTTGCATGTAATTTGGATTTTTCTTAAATCTTATTAATAGATCGTTGTATTTTGAAAAATCTCTGGAGCTGTAATGTTCAACTTTGCAATAGAAGATTTCGAGCGCCCAAATGCAAATTCAAACGCTAACTTGGTTTTAACTGAAATTGTGATCAGTTCGCATAGCACTATCTTGTAGATAACTACCCAAGAAAATTGCTCACTGAAAGTTGTGAAATTAAGCAAAAAACGCCCTCAACAAGTGCGAAGATCAGATGTCAACAATATTTAATCTCCACATGTCTCTAGCAACTCCTTCTTTTTCTCGGATGCTTGTTTGTGTATGAGAAATTTCCATACTGTTTTCCCTATCGTGCACTCTCAATATCTGTTCAAGAATTTCCAGATTCATAGCGTTTCAAAGTTATTTCTTGCTTGCTTATGATATTGCTGCCGGATAAATGAGAAGTCAAATATAAGGGGTCTTTTTAAATGTTCTATAGAGACATACCGAAAGGGTGGAGATTATCCTCTTGCAGCGAAATAAGCAAGCCACTATTTTGTTGTTACGTTACAAAATTGCCTGGCAAGTTTGACACATTTCCTTCTTCAAATTATGGTAAGCATTTCTAACTTTCATTATTAGAATCGTGAACCTGTT